TACTGGGTTTTAGTATTGGCAGCCAAAAACTTAACAACATAAGATACGCAGACGACACAGTACTGATAGCAGATACGGAAGATAAATTACAAAATCTCCTACAGAAGGTAGCGAAGGAGAGCGAGAAGAAAGGACTAAGCATAAACTACAAGATGACAGGATGCATGGTCATCAGTAAGAGGAAGAGCCCGAAATGCTATTTGCGGGTCGGAAACACTAGAATCAAGCAGACGCAGAAGTTTAAATATCTAGGAAGCGTCTTGACAGTGGACGGTAAGTGCGACACTGAGATCCGTATTGGAATAGCCAAGGACACATTCCAAAAGCTGGGCAGAGTATTGTGAGACAGGATGATTTCATTGGTAACAAGGAAAAGAATACTGAGCTGTTACGTGACATTTTTTTCTTCTTTACGGCAGTGAATATTGCATGATTTCCTCAAAGATGAAGAGATTTGAGGAGGCAGAGATGTGGTTCTACAGAAGGATGCTAAGGATATCATGGACTGAGCGTGTGAGCAAAGATGAGGTCTTGGAGAGGATTTTAACAAGGCTCATATTTAACATTAGGTAGAGGCAGCTGAAGTTTCTGGGACACATAATGGTGAAGGAGGGCCTAGAGAATCATGGGCCGAATAGAGGGTTTGGTTTGTTTTGTTTTACGATATATCAACCTCAGTGGATTATTTAAAACCGACAAAATTTTCAAGGTTGGCAATATTTTCCCCCAAATATCTATTTTTGGTAATACTTTTTCCTTCAAAAATCTATTTCTGGTAAGAATTTTCCTTCGCTAGTAATTTTTTTTTTTTTAAATATATTGCTGGTAATAATTTTTTACAAAATATTTCTAGCATTAAAACCTGTTTTTATACTTTCATAGTGTTTATTAGTGATTATTTGCCCATAGCTGGGACCCTAGCAGGTGCTACCACGCCGGGTTAGGGCTGACCTGGGAACATCAGCAATTAAGAGGTGGTTGTACGCCTCCCCAAAGCCTCCTGATCAGTGGCCTTGCTGTTGGACGTAGTATATCGGCTTACCCAGGACGCGGACGTTGTTTATCGTCTTACCCAGGACGCGGAGGTAGTTTATAGTCTTACGCAGGACGCGGACGTAGGTTATCGTCATACACAGGACGGTCGAATAGAGGAAAAAAGAGACAAAGGAAAACAACGTATGACATACCTAGCGGGCTGCAGCAAGTGGATTACAGAACGTGGTCTGGGGGAGGAGGCAAAGGAAAGGAACTTGTTGGAGAGCCCGAAAGGACATGGCACATAAAAAGACAGAAAGAATGTTACAACAAAGGCTTAAGCATTGTATATATGATGTACATTCTTTAGATTCTTCCGCTTGAACAAAAAAGTTCATTTATATTTTGATTGTCTCGTTTTTTTTAAATAAAGTTTTCTCTCTTTATTCTTAATTAAAGACAATTTTTTTTATTTTCATAGTTTTCATATATATATATATATATATATATATATATATATATTTATATAAATAAAAAAAGACCCCCGCCAAAATAACAGAATAGACCACAGCAATCAATCCAAAAATTGGACGAAAAAATAGCTTTAATTATCTTCCCAGACCAAAACAAACTATTACATAAGCGACCTAAGCAAATCCCCGCAATTTTTTTTACTACGTTAATAAAACATTGGAAACCGAAAAGAATAAATTAATATATAAAATAAAAAATGAAAATAAATAAAAACAACTAAAATAAATTAAACCAAATAAATAAATAAACAAACCACTCCCGCCAAAATAACCGTCAGAATGGACTACCCACAATGCACCACTAACACGAATATATAAATAGTCGAGAAAAAAAAACAACATTCCCGGCCTGACGATTGCGTCTAACATGAAACCTGTCGCCTCTGAGTGTTGACTTCAATGTTCACTTTTATAATTGTATAAATATATATATATATATATATATATATATATATATATATATATATACAATTTGAAGAAAAAAACAGATCACTTTAAGGCTTCATTTGTAAGAATTTATTGCACTAGAGAATTTTATTCTTCTCTGGATCTTCAGACTTCAATTTCAAAAGGTGAAACGAAAAATGAATTTAAAATTTACACATTTGACGGGCAGTATTAAGCTTATATAATTTGACAATTTGAAGGTGGTGAGTAATAGTATAAGAGACATAGTCGAGTTTATATGCTAAAGAGAAAAGAGAAGCCGCAAACGTTTCTGGATATAATGTGGATTTAAAAAAAATATCTATTATACATTGTTTTCCATATTTTTTGGTACACACGTTTCGGGTCTTGTGACCTTCATCAGGCGAAGAGTGGTTATTTCCACATTATTTAAAGGAATTAATTTTTTCCTTATGTTTTCTTGTTTCTTTAACCATTGTATTTTGCGTGTGATAGCAATCCCGATTTTTCTTGGACTATATATATATATATATATATATATATATATATATATATAAAGTAATAAATATACATAATATCCCTCACAGATAGCACGACTCGGAGTTTCATTCACAACGCCATATTCAGATGCTGATGATAGACTGCTGGTTACGTAATTTAAATTTTAAAAAAATATATCTAGTTTTCGTAATGTTGGTATATATATATATATATATATATATATATATATATATTATACTGGGATTATTATACGGGCAGAAGTGCTAATTTCAGTAGCGCTTTTTTTAAAAAATTGTAATTTTCTTTTTGAACAGTTCTTTTAAATCAATTAAGAAGGTAATATATCTCGGTAAAATCATTTTTTTATTCCGAGATCATCCGCTAAGAAGGATGTTTGACTTTTTTTTTACTAATAGTAACGCTAAACAGAAATCCACGGTTAGTAATTAAAATAAAATTTATAGTCCGTATTTTTTACATTTCTAGAAAGATAAAACCGAAAAAAAGACAGCTTAAAAAATAAAAATGTTTAAAGATTTCAACACATGAAAGATTTTCCCGATAACTGAAATACTGTCTTTAAAAACACATTTTAAGACTATCCCGTTTGTGTTGTGTTGGAATTTTTTTTTTCAGCAGAGATGCGTCAGCGATAAATCTTTATGGAAATGTAAGAATTTGCGAATTAAACATTTATTTTCGAGTAAAATTTATTCGTGAAAATATTGGTAGTTTTTACAAAAAAACATTTTCTCAGATTCTTTTTTTAAATAAAAAAAATCCTATTCATTATAAAAGTAAATAAATAATGAATATGTACTGTAATTTTCATTTAAATTGGATAATTCCCTGATTTTTGGTAATTTCATAAAAGCTGCCCTCTACCCAATTTTCCTTAGGGGGTTTGTGGCCCCCAAGTTTGGAAAATTTGAAATCATCATGCAGTAGAGAGGGGAACCCCGTATTAAAGTTTCAGGAGCGGGGCCCGAGACCCTAGCGCCGGCTTTGTCCTTCAGAACTGGGTCGGTATAATCTATAATATATATTTCGGCCTTAGAAAAAGCGGACTTAGCTTTTTTTTTTTGGCCTCTGGTTGCGGGCGACGTGCGGGATATCCAATTTAACCTCGGCCTTGTTCAAGGTGGCGTACGCATAAATACCGATGATCTAAAGCGTATCTTTACGGGTTTTAAAATGATTAATATCCGTTTAATCCCAGGGTGGATGTCCACGCGTTCATTAATTCTTGCTCGACTGGTGGTTACAGTGCTTACCTGGCGTCTGGAGTCGTCCCCCTAAAGGAGAAGTGCCGAGAAAACTGGAGCAATTTCTAGCCCTCTGTACGCGTGGGCTTCCACTGTAAACCAGACCCTGTGTCAAGTTTTATACGAAGTGATCGTACGAATAAATACAGCTTAGAAAAAAGAAAGACGCTTTTCGACCGTATGTGGATTTCACTTGGCCTAAACGACTCAGTTTATGGATTGATTTGTATTTACGGCTTATCAACCCTTTTCAGGTTATTTAAAGCCAGAAAACATTTTTAGAGTGTAAGAAGTTTTTGGAGATAATAATGATTTACGACTAATTAACCCATAGCTAGGGGGAAGAATAGGTGGATTCATACTTTTTCCAAGGCTTATTTGCGTGTAAGTGAATATAGCGAACGCGACTGGAATTGGGACTCAGCTCTCAGATTAGCAATTCCGAATTTTTAATTATTACACCACCAGCACATCCAAACTTACCGCACCTTCCATTTTGGTTGGTTGATTTTGTTCATAGGCTTGTCAACTTCTATGAGTTATTTAATGCCAAAATCTAAATATTTTGAACATAATGTTATGGCTTCGAGTAAAGATAAAATTTATTGTTGGTCATTTTTTTTTTTTTTTTTTTTTTAAGCATTACGCCCCGAGCAAGGCGTGAAGCCACTAAGATGCAGGGGGTTGCAGAAGATTTGGAGCGAGAGCAGATAGGAGTGATAGAAGAAAGGATGAGGAGAGGGATAGTGGATAGATCAATGTAACTGGATATGTCGATTGACATTACATTTGAATAGTTGGAGATTATAGCTTTCAGGGAAACAGTAATTGGGAAGGGTGTTCCACGGGCGAGAGGTGCGAGGTATGAAGCTATTGGAGTAGAAGAGACGGCTACATTTAAAAGTTTCTACAGTGTAAGGGTGGGAGCGGGATGCCAGCCTCGTAGGGCGCTTGAATTCATGGAGTCTGGGAACCAGTGAAAGCAGATCATCGGAGCAATTACTATGAAAGTATTTGTAAAAAAGACAAAGAGAGGCGATGGCGCGTCTGTGAGAGAGTGACTGCAGACGAGACGCCAGTTGCTATAAAATATATTTTTGTTAATTCTATAAAATTTATTTCTGGTCATTTTGCTTTAAAATTGTATTGTTGGTAATTTTTTGCCAATAGCTAGGATGCTAACAAGGGCTATTACCCAGGGTCAGGGTGGATATGGGAAAAATAGCAATTAAGAGGTGGTTCCACGTTCCTCAAGTCCTCCAATCTCCCGATCAGAGGCCTTGCTGCCGGGTGTACTTTATCGTCATATCCAGGACGTGGCACCTGGTATTCCGAAACGGTCACACATCTAGGTACTTGTCAGGCTCGAAGTTGCTTAACTTCAGTGATCGTACGTGAACCGGTGTTTCAACGTTCAAATTCAGTGAAATTAACTATTAGGTTGGTCTGTCTGTCTGATGCGGCATTCACCCTGGGCGGATTGAGCCGGCTTCTTCCTGTTGTGAGAAGAAGATTCTTGGGATAAATTACAGAAGTAGGGTACCCAGGCCTACTCGGATAACGTTCTTGCTTGCCGCGGGGTTCCCACAGACGCAGAGACAGGAACGACCAGAAGCCGCCGGTTACCGATACAGACACTCCTTGGATTTTCACCCGAGCCCTTGTTAGCCGGCGTGTGTGTCAGACCTCTCCGCCTTGGGTGGCCCTACCAGGAACGAAGTTCCAGGCGGCATAGCTCTGACACTACCGTTTACACCCCCCCACTGACTGTGAGGTAAGGGTTGGACTTTGGGGGCTTACAGTACCAGGTGTTCCCAAGCGGTCCCCCATCTAAGTACTGACCTGGCTCTACGCTGCTTAACTTCGGTGATCGTACGAGAACCGGTGTTTCAGCGTGATTTGACCGTAACCGTATTAGGTCGGTGCAAAAATAATGACGTAATAATGTCGTTTTTTGACGTATTTTTGAATGTCAAAAAACGACATTCTTAAGTCATTATTTTTGCACCAACCTAATATATATATTTAATGTTCTGAAGGTTTCTTTAGAGATTAGCTTTAAGGCCCCAAGTTTTAGGTACGAAATTGTTCTTTGTGGATCAAAGAGTCGGTTCGTGAATTTGATGATAGTGTATTTGTGATTTGGCTCCTTGGTTCGGCTAGTGTAGTGTTTTACACTCACTGCAAACATTGGGGAGCAATAACTGTGCAGTACTAAATAAAAATAAAGCGGGGTATTCCATAGACACCTGAAGAAAGGGTAGAATAATCTACCATTGTAGCTTTAATAAAGGGTTCAATTCGAAATTCCCTGAAGATGGCCGGAGGATACAACGATCGAAACGTCGTGAAAAATAATAACAAAGACGAGGAAAATTGTGCGGATGTAAATAACAACTCAGAACGTCAAACGGAAGTTCCAAGAGTTTTCAGACAATTGAACTTATTTCATACCAAGCAAGGCAATAAAGCCACTAAGACGCAAGGGTGGGGGCGTTAATGAGTGTTAGAGAATATGAGAAAAAAAAGAAAAAAGAAGAGAGGACAATAAGAGAATAAGAATTAAGAAGACAAGATAACGATTGACATTGCATTTAAAATTTTGAAGATCAACGTTGTCTGGGAAGTAAGAAGTCGGGAGAGATTCCCACAAGCGAGAAGTGCGAGAGAAGAAACTTTTAGCATAGAACTCTCGGTTACATCTTGCCATTTCAGCTGTAAAATGATGAGACCTCGCCGCCAATCTAGTACTGCGCTTAAATTCACAATGTCTAGGTACCATAGAGGAAAGTTCATCAGAACAATTAGCATGAAAGTATATATACAAATATTACAGGGAAGCTACGTAATGGCGGTGGGGAAAAATGACTGAAGCTGAGATGCCAGATCCGGACTAATATCATTGCAGATTTTTCTTTGGCTTTTATCAAGAATCTCTAAATATATAGCAGGAGTCCCAGACCATATGTAGCAGAAATATTAAACGTTACGACAACGTTTCAGACAATTCATTCTACACCCTTCTTCAGGTGGAAAAATCTGTGAGGAAATCAACTAGAAATTTAATAATGGTCAAATTAAGTGATCAAAACAACAACAATGACGATAAACTAAAATGTTGAGATTAATAGCAAGAATTTGCTATTTGGAATAAATGTACTTGCTTAGTGAGGACATTTTTATTGTCATATCAATTCAGGATTTTAGGGACCATGGTTCTCCACATCTTTCTTTTCTTTGTTACTGTGAATGTCGATAGCTCCATGGGGGAAATAGTAGAATGGTTTCGCCACTGTTTTGAATTCAGTGTAGTGCTTCTCTTAGACTGATTGTTACCCAAGTCTAGATAGCCTACACTACCTTGTTATTTAATATGGCGGTTGGAAAAGAGATGACTACATGCCTTTCTCAAGCAGGCTGAAATTTGAACCCGGCTCGTTGATTCCATTTTCCTTGCCGGTAACTGTTACACCACCCACACATCCTGAACAGAGGCTAACAGCTATTTTAAGCAGTACCTGAAAATATAGAGGGGTTCCATCATTTGACACTGTCAATGAGTAATATGTGACTGATACATAAATAGATATTGGGTTGTAAGCATACACCTGTGACATGAGAGAACTGTGTGGGTGATGTGTTAGGGTGGGTGAAGGAGAGTATTAGGGTGGTGTCTTTTAGGAAAATTTGGGTGTCGAAAGAAGTGACTCACAGAATAATAAGGGTTAGGGATTATTTAAAGAGTTTTAGTAAAACGAGGAATAATTTGATTCAATTTCAATACCAATAACCTTTTTTTTTTTTACAATGAGATTCAAGGCCCCTAGAGGCGGAGTTATAAAGTAAGAGTTACAGTTCATACGGATATATGGGGAAGATGACAGTTAACTCTAGGTTAAGATTGTATAGCCGGCCACTTGTAGTCGAGGACAGTGGGGTGGCTAGCCAATCCCTATTGCAGACGCTAGCTCAGGCGCATCTTGTGTTTATTCAACACCCACAGAGCCCACCTGTGGTTTATACTGCAACTATGCTGAGCAGACCTTAGAGTTTCTGGGCGTGATCAACAATTTGAACAAGGCCAGCACGCTCGACCACGATGGCTTGTGACTTCGTGCTAGCACAGCTATCGACGGCCTCAAGGGTTTCGTCTACCCAATTTCACTCACATGGCTCAAGGCACGGGGCTTCCCTAAGGAGACATCTATTCATCGTGACTGGTAATAGCTCAGGGTCCGATCGGTATTGTATTATATAATGTTTTTTTTTTTTTTAATTTGTCCCCTTTTCTACACAGATTAATTTTAGGGTTAGGTGTTAAGGTTACGGTAGGGTTTTCTTTCTGTGTAAGAAAGGGGACAAATTAAAAAAAATATAATACAATCAACCCTTCTACTTTACCAAGTTTGTGCACTAATTTTTGTTTTATTTTTCAATTTTAAAATAAAAAAAATGCTTTATTTTCATTATTTAATTTGTTCTTTTAATTTGTCATTGCTATTCTAAAAGTTTTTATTGTATTATTTGATTTGTTTTTGTTTAAAGTTTCCTGTTACAAATAAGCCTACACTTATCAAAAGGAAAAAAAATTACGATAATGCGTAGTGATTTCAAAAAGCGATATAGCTGTAAAAGAAGTAAAGAGGCCACAAATTCTAATTAAACCAGCGTAGGTACCCCACATCGTATTAATAAACATTATGGCAGTAATGGGGACGAATGACCAACAAGAAGTTCGATTTTTTCTTGTCGATAACTCCAAAACGGTAGGTTTCTTCATAATTTAATTGTTAATTCGAGTTCAGCATGTACATTTGCACGGAATTATGACGATTTTTGAAAATTTTAAGGAATATTTAGAGCGGGTGTTAAAATAGAAATTTACAGTTTTTTTTTCCTGCTTCTCAAATGATTAGAAGCGTTGTCATGTACATACCTTTTGGAAGGGTATTAAGATGAGTGACATTAAATATGATTACCAGAAAGGACTACTTTGAAATTTTATGGGTTACAGTAAATATCCTTTGAGTAGTGAGTTCGATCCTCACTAGGTGCTTCTTACTTTCGGCCTTCTGCCATACCTAAGCTTCGCTTAGTAAATCACTGCAATAAATATCCTCTTCAGCTCCACAGATTTAGTTACCTAACCGGCCTCCCCGGGTTTGACGTACTGTGCATATCTGTTCATTAGCAGGAATAAGGGGGTAAGTATCATGGCCGTGTATCAAAATATATTTTTTTTAATTTTAAAGGATGAGGTTAGCAAGGGGTCTAGGAAGTCACATTTAAATACTTGTTAACATTCTCAATCAGGGATCGTCTAAGCAGACTGGGTAACCCGACATGAAATTATTTCTAACTGGGCTCCACATGCAAAGTTATGCAATGCCTTTATGAAAACCCATCACATTTGGCTGTGATGCATGTGACTGGTATACCCTTATGAGATTGGATGCCCTCATCGGTATATTGAGATCTGTAAATAATAATAATAATAATAATAATAATAATGTGATCAAAGAATACAAGAACAAAATGTGCTTTGACATGGCAGTTCCTGCAGATTGCAAGATCTTCAAAATACAAGGATCTGGAAGTGGAAATCTCAAAAAATGTGGAACATGAGGGCATCAATATTTCCATTTGTAGTTGGAGCCCTCAGATTGACTGGAAAAGGTTCCGATAGACTCATTGAAAGGATTCCTGGAAGCCCATGCCTTAAAGAAATACAAAAAATTGTACTTACAAGTACAGCTCTCAAATTACGAAGGGCTTCGTTTATGTAAAATGTCTGTGATCTGAGTTTTTTTTTTTTTACAAAAATGACCAGTGCAAAATGTCATGAAGCCATTTATTACCTTAGGTCTCTGGTTGGGTCCCGGAAGAAAATGTGTATACAACAAAATCAAAGGAAATAATAATATTTTTTAATAGTAATAATAATAATGTTTTTAGTAATAATAATAATATATACTAAAATATTGTGTCAGTCCAAAATGCAGATTCTGTGATAAATATCCAGAAACGATTGATCATCTTGTAGCAGGTTGTACGGTGTTGGCACCCACTGAATATAAAACCCGACATGACAGAGTGGGCCAATATCTGCACTGGAAAATCTGCAACTTCTACGGGAAGAAAACTGAAAGAAACTGGTATGAACACCACCCAGACCCGGTTACGGAGATAGGACTTGTTACAATTCTATGGGACTACACAATTCACACTGACAGAACAATCAAGGCCAACCGCCCAGATATTGTTATTAAAGACCATAAACAAAAACGGTGCCTCCTTATTGATATGGCAGTCCCTGCCGACTGCAATGTATCTTTGAAGATATTCAAAAAGTTGTCAAAGTACAAGGACCTTGAAATAGAAATCGCGAAAATGTGGCATATGGGAACATCAAC